CCTGACTCAAGTGCACAGTTGATCATCCAATAAGCGCACTTTTCAAAATTTTCTTTCCTTTTCCATATCCCGTTACCCTTTCTACCACCACAAAAAACTCGTACTAAAACTTATTTCCATACGCCCAAAAAATAATTCAAAGAAATGCAAAATTGATCTCACATGCCGCATCGAATCAGAAAAACATACCAGCGTTAAAGGGTTAATTTCCCGAGAACAGAGTACAACATGTTACACAAAGGTAACACTTGAAGGAGCACGAGAGCGATGTGAAGAGTATCACGCGAGATCCATCGAGCTACACAGTGTCGACATGGAAAGACAGTTTCGTTTCCCCAACGAAACGTCGCTATCTACCGAACACCGATCGGTTGGACGGCCTTGGACAGGGAAGCACGAATGTTCGAACCGCGGTGAAAAGGCGGAAGCTGGTGCTCTGTACGTGATGTCACATCGATGCTGAATATTCCGGTCCCCGAAGTGTGCACGGAGAATTCCATGGCCCCGGCGGCTTCTGTCGGCGAAGTTTCATCTTGTTCCCTCGTTAACGCGTGGCGATGTGCCAGTAACGAGGCGGCAGAGAAAGGAAAGAGGGAAAACGGGATATCGGAGAAGCGCACAAGAGAGAGAGAGAGAGAGAGAAAGGGTACAAGGACGGTCACACGGGGTGACGAACGAAGGAGAACGCCAGGGAGTGTAGAGAAGGAGGATGAGGAGAACGAAAGTTCGAAAGTCGAACGACAGTTTGCAGCTTCGGCCCCGAAAGATTTCGAAATGAGCGCATTATCGCCGAGCTGATGGCCTCATCTGGGTATTATGCACTCCGGGATATTCAGGAAATAATCGACTCCCTTGGGTCGCCTCGAGTCGAACGAGAAAGCGGCTGTTTTATTATGATCACCTGGGAATAATGGGAACGTTAAATCTATAGATGAAGTAGTATGTTAGAGGGGGGAGATTCTCGTTTTAATTTTGATAATATAACGTTCGTTTTCCAAGTTTATCTACTGGTCGTGACGGTGATTTATAATTTCCTACGAATGGTTCGTGGTGCTTTTCACGGAAATGACGGAAGAGGTGAAATTAAGTAGAAAATGTTTGAACAATGTAATTTCAAAAATGTGTATTTAGTCGTAGAAAAATGACCAATGACTACGATGACTAATTACTTCGTTGTATTTCGGGTAACGCTGCTCGCACTGGGTATTAGCGAGTTCTAGATATTTTGGCAATTTTTATCTCATTAAATATGCATTTTCTATGCTATTGTGGTGAGACACTTTTTGCTTCGTTTCACCTCTTGTATGACACAATCTCCCTCGAAGAGACACTCTTTTTTTCAACAGGAAAATTTTAAAACCGTACTAGAATACGGAATAATAATTGTACAATCACTCATAATTCGTAAATAAGTACGAGATAACTGTGTTCCACTTTGAAACAGAAATTGAAACTCTCTAATTTACAATTAAAAACGAATAAGAATTTTTCATAACCAACTACTTTCTGTTCCTCCTTGCAAATCTGAACGCGACGCATTTTAAGTTCAATACAAACATAACGGTTCAGTTAAAAATGAATAATCCCTCGATAAATAAATTATTGTTTTCTAAGTATTTTTCATCTTTAGGAAGTTAACAGATACAATTTTAATATACTCCCAACAAAGAATAAAAAATAAACGAGGACTTGAATTGTGGATCACGCCGAGAATTCAGTAGTACAAGTCGATATTCACAGATCCGCCGCGTTTAAGTTGTGTACTTCTAAATTATTATTGTATTAAAGTATTTTTTATCTTACAAGGTTAAGAAGTTAACCGATACAATTTCAATATACTCCCAACAAAGAATAAAAAATAAACGAAGACTTGAATTTTGGATCACGCCGAGAATTCAGTAGTACAAGTCGATATTCTCAGATCCGCCGCGCGAAACGTAGGCTATACTACTTAACTTCGCCAAAGCTTACCAAACAATTTTTTAGCATGCACCACGCTAAATTTTTCAGAGCAACTCAACACGAATTGCACAAACACACGGCACGTTCATTTATCTAAAAAATATACAGGCTATCGGAAGCTAAAACAATTACGCGAAACAGGAACAACCGAGCACGTTCGAAAAATATCGACGGATCTGAGCTGCGCAGCGAAATGTGTCAATTAGCACGCCCCACAAACTCTGAATTTATCGATGCAGAAGATACGATCGGTTACAGCGTGCTCGAAAACCGCGCATATCAAACGATGATCGGGCGCGTTTAAACGATTGTTTACGGGAACTTTCCGCGACCGCCGGTGACGTTAATAACATTTACTCGGCGCGGAATTCCTTGTTAACGTGCCGTAACATCGCGCTACACCGATAGTTTATACGAAATTTTACAACGAAGCCTCTCCCCCGTAGATCTGTCGCAATTAAACCTAGTATGTATTCCGCTACGCGATACGAAATAGCGTTCGATCAATTAAAAACAGAGAACGAAATTTCATGGAAAACGAACACAGCTGTATAGAAAGTGCCTCTGGATATCGCCTAAACGAATCGAATTTCCCCATTAGCTCTCCTGTAATCCGCACGTTGAATCTGTAATTTACACACACACTGGAGCTTTTGTACAATTTCTTCTCGCAAGAACTTCTCACACAAGAGAATCTTTTCGATCGACGACCACCACGACGACGACGATTGCACATTGCAATTTCAACGAGTAACTACTGCTACACTACACGCAATCCACCCCCCATTGACGCCGGATATAACGTTTTTTCTTCTTTTTTTTTTTTTCTCTTCATTGCGGAAGCGAGGAAGTTGAAAGAAGCTGGCACTCGGAGCAGCAGCAGCATCGATGAAACTTTTATCTGGCTGACGTACAACTCGGTGTGTCTCTTTGGCCGTGTGTATACGGGAGCGGCGAGTTTCCTGTATTTATGGCGCACAATAATGCGGATGCACAGGGATGCGAAGTTTCTAGTGGATCGCGTATGTGGAAGAAACCCCGGAACTGCGGAACGAGGGGAATTCGAATGAAACTGGGATTTCCTTGCCTTCCGCGGTGTACAATGCTACCCTAAACTGGCCGAGTTATACCGACGGAATTACCTATGCGGTGAAAGGACCGACAATTTGTGCGTAGAACTCGATGGCCCTGTTCGTCTTCCCCGCGGAATTCACGAGCCTGCAGTAAGGACGGTTGAAAGTGTTGGTCAGAGCTGATTTCGGTTGAGACGAAACAATTTAGGTTGTGAATGGGGAAAGGTGAAGAGATGATCGAGATTAAATTGATCGAGAATTCCTTGATTCGGGGATTACTATAATTGCACCCTTTTTGGGGGTGCAAAGTACCTTTTTTGAGATTTTAGTTCATTCGTTTTGAATAATTAAAATTGGTTAGGAGGAGAATTTTGTGAAGGAGGAATTTTGGTATTAAGTGAGCCTTCGTTTGCAAGCAAAAATTTTGGTATTAAGTGAGCCTTCGTTTGCAAGGAAAAGTTCCTTACGAAATACAACGACATTTTATTGGCAAATTCAAACCGAAAGAGTTCACTTTCACGTCTCATAAATAATTATGAGATTGTCCTCAAGGGTTAAGTGAGCCTTCATTTGCAAGGAAAAGTCCCTTACGAAATACATTTTATTAGCAAATTAAAAAAAAAGAAAACAGAGTTCACTTTCGCGTCTCGTAAATAATTATGTTCTCTATACAATTTCTGAAATATTCCCGAGAATTCTTATCGACGATCCTCAAAATTTCAAGAAAAGTCTGAAATTTATCAAGATTAGAAGAGAGAACTGGGAACACAGAGCTTCCCCGTGTGCTACATTCAGCGAAATGTTTTTCCTCAGATAATCTCAACTTCCCAGTTCTACTACGGGCCCTCCATTCTTTCTGTCATTTCCATCGCCACCTCCGTTCTACTATGATTCCGCTACTTTCCCGGAATTACCATGTGACGCTTCATAAATACAAAACTGGCACGCGATCGTACAGAGGGAAAAGAAACTCTCCGCCTCGTGTCAGACAGATAGAAGTTTTGCTCGCCAGCTAAGGGTGTTAGTGGATGGTGGAGGGATTTGGAGACACGCGTGGAAAACCCACCGCGGCGTTACTCTACTTTATAGGAGTTAGGATAAGTACGAAGAAAAGTTCCACGGTGTCTGCAATGCGTCTCGGTAGCGTTCTGGAGGATATCTCTGGTTTGCGCGGCGGTGTTGCTTCCGTTGCCGTATTTTCTAGCAAGAGACGTCTTACATCTGCTGTTCGTCCGACCACCGGTTAGCTAGCTTTGTAATTCACTTTTTAACGGGTGGCTAATCGCTCGCTAACAACTACTTTCGAAGTTATCGTTGCGGAGGTTTCTGGGGGGGTGAGTAAAATATTGGAACGTTTCGTGAGCATTGCAGTTTACTTTAGCAGGGTTCAGTATCAGTGTGTCAGTCGAGCACTGATGAAGTGAGTTCGAATCTTTGATGCAGATCTGTTTGCTAGAATCGTATTTTCGTATCTCTAAATTTGGAAAAAGAATTTGTTGAGGAATTATCTGAGGCGATTGTCTCTGTGATGAGAGATTAGTGCAATGTTTTCGTGTGTCTATCTCTGGAAGAAACATCTACTGGGAATTTTTTTAATTTGTAACTTAATTTTGACGAATCTTTTTAATTTTGAGAACAAATGACCTAAATTCTTCGATTTCCTATAAAATATACTCGCCTATTCCTGAAAAAACGACTTCAGATCTGCGGATAAAATCGAATGCATAGAAATAATAATTTTTTCGTGTGTCCATCTCTGAAAGAAAAAGCTACTGCGAATTTTTGAAATTTGTAACTTAATTTTGACGAATCTCTTCAATTTTGAGAATAAATGACATAAATTTTTGGATTTCTTATCAAATATACTTGTCTATTTCTGAAAGAAGGACAACTTCTGATCTACGAATGAAATTGAGTACCTATACAGCGATAATAATTTTGCAAAACGGTATTTCCTGTTAACAGACGACGTGCCTAACAGAACTGCCAGACGTGGCACCGTGCAACGGCACAGTGCGACTACCACCGACGTGCGAGGATTCCCCGAGCAGCGGCAGCAGCAAAGATCGTAGGGAAGAGAGTCCTCGCAGAAGATGCCGAGTATTAGCGCCCATCTTGCTCCTAGTGGGGGCTCTGCTTCTCGGTGGACTTTGTCTACCGTTGCTTCTACAATCCGCGCCTGTCACGCATCAGCAGAGGCTGGACGTGATCAGGAGGATCCTCACTGAAGTGCCTCTGATCGACGGGTAAGCTGGCGTTCTTCTTAAATAATCGCGCAAGCAGAAAATACCGAGGCTTCGATTGAACGTTAAAGCGATCTTCTTAACGAGTAAAAATTACTAAATCGTGACAAAGTAGGAGTTCGTACAGGGTGGGCCAAGTGAAACATTCCGCCCTAAATCCTAAATGAAATGAAATAAATTCTTTTTTCTGTTTTTCCAAGATCCATCTTACACATTCCAACATTCGTAATAACGTGACCCTAAAATGACCCGAGACTCTAAAATTTTTGATCAAACGTAAAACTTTCTTTCATTTTTTCTCATTTCTTCCACTGAAAAGAATTTATTTCCTCGGTACATACCACCGTAGCTATAGAAGACAATTAGGCTGCCGATTTCACGTGGCCCACCCTGTACATCCAAAGAGAAGTAAAACTCTCGACTTCCAAAAAATACAATCACAATCGAGATAAGACCGAACACAGTTCCACAGAGGAAATCATTCTAGATCGCAAGTATACCACGTCGATTCCAACTGTTTTTCCCAACACACCGCTCCTCGATTAACACAAACTTCCCATCCCTGTTCATAACAGCCCGCGACAGGCGGTATAGAAAAACTCGATAATCCGCGAGGGGAGGGAGAAAGCAACCCCCGAAAAAAAAAACAGAAAAAAAACGTAGCAATTTAGTTTACCGGTAGGTAGAGCTTTTGTACTAAGTAGCTCTTCACGGAACGTTTTCCACGGCTTTGTTCCCCAGGCACAACGATTTGCCCTGGAACGTCAGAAAGTTCGTACACAATCAACTCGGCGAGGTCAATCTGAGCAGCGATCTCGGCAGAGTTGATCCTTGGGCTAGATCAGACTGGAGTCACACAGACATTCCTAGATTACGTGCTGGTCTCGTCGGTGCACAGGTGAGCGTGAAATAATAGACCCTCAGATCCAACCCCTTAGCTTTTTCAGTCATCTCTAATTACGATTTCAACCGTTCACGTCGCCCGGGATCCACTCGCTTAATTATTTCAATCCGACTTAACATTATTGTTTCCTGTTTTAAACAAACTTCGCCGGCCTTTGTTCGGGAATAACTGTCAGCCAACCTAAACGTCTAACTATGTAAGCCAGTGACTTTCTCTGTACGAATATCATCGTGGTCCAGGAGAATCGACTCCTTTTTCTTTTGTTTTAGAATGGCTGTGTTGAACGAAAGTGTCTTATAGTAATTTTAGCAGGAAATTTGTTTTTTTTTTTTGAGATAGTCATTCGAATGATATCGAAGGGATTTGGTTACCATTTTAACGGCGATACGAAAGTCATTGTGATCCAGGAGAATCAACTCCTTTTTTTTTTTAGAGTGGCTGTGTTAAACGAAAGTGTCTTATGGTAATTTCAGTAGGAAATTTGTATTTTTTTTTTTTATTTTTGAGGTAGTCATTCGAATGATATCGAAGGGATTCGATTACCGTTTCAAAGTCCTGGAATCTTCGATGGAAACTATTCCGGCGGATTTGAGAAGGAACGATATCGGTAAATCCGGTGCAAGTTTATGCTTAACCCTGCGTGGGTAGTCCAAGTGCGCATTCAATTAAATTTAAAGAGAAGCTGTCGAAGTATGAAGGGAAAGGAGAAACTGTGTTGGGAAACATTCGGGATGTTAGGAGGCAAATTGAATAAATAATTAGGGTCAGTCTCGATTGAAAAATTTCAATAATGCCGAGGTGTTTAATTGAAACGATCGATCACGCGTCTGTTTCGATGTCTGTTTCGTCTCGTATACTTTTAATTACTCGCCGAGCATTCGGAAAGGGGGAGAGGGTTGTTTAATTCTAATTTGATGGAAATATTCGCGATGACGTTGTGAAGAAAACGTGTAGATCGTAAAAATTCACGTGTTGTAGTTTTAGTACTCGCGAAGGCACGCGAAACGTATCGCTGATAGAAGTAGAACGTAATTGACAATTGTGTTGTTTGAACTTAATTGAGTTTAATCAAGAACGCAGTTAATTTATATTGTCGATTTTAGGGGATGCATGATTTCACGGTAATTCGACAACGTAATGTACAATTTTTGAGCGGACAACTCGAATGTCTGTTTCTACAAGGTGTCTAGAAAATTTGTATTTGGCGAAAAATAAAAATTATCTTGGAAACAACTTCCGTACATTCGTTGATGCACATATTAAATACTGCAGGAATTTCTCAACATGAAGAAAGTGAAATTAAATAATCATTCGATACACATTTTTAGAAATTAACATTCCTATCGTGTGTTCACTGAAATCTCACTAATGAATCTGAGGGAAATGGGAAATTTAAATGTAAGTCTAAATAAATTGATCCTCTTCGATCTGGGTTTGTCAGATCCCTCTAGATTAACCCAGGGTTAATTGTGTCATACTTAAACCTACTGTACCCATCTTCACTATTTCATATAATAATAACAACGGAAAATTATCATAAATAACAGAGGTATTCCAAGTTTCAACCTCCTCCACCTATCTTCACTATTCCATACAGCAACGCCAACAAAAAATCAACAGAAATATCCCAAGTACCTCCTACACGCCCAAAAGACACGGGTCAAAAATGACCCAGCACCCTCAGGTAACAATTAAACCAGCACCAAACATCCCGTCAATTAATCCTGCCTCCCCAAAGAAGAAGAAGAACTCTCTAATAACTCCAGATCCTGTCTGCATCACGTATCTCCGATAAATTACGATCGTTGAAACGGGTCAACAAGTGAGCACTAACTCCTATCTGACCCAGAGATCCTGTTCTTGCTATCCTGGCAAGATATTGGCAATCGACAGATATGGATAGGTCTGGTGTACGAGTGTCACAGAGGTACGATGGATAAGAAGAGAAAGAGAGAGAGAGAGAGAGAAACGACGAGGCATCTGAACCCTACATACCAACGTGTCTGATCGCTGTACGTCGTCGAACAGGAACCGATCGTTGCTGTAACTCGAACCGAGTATTTTTACTCGTCCAGCAGAAAATGGATTCCTTTGATCACACGTAACGAGACGGCTTTTAATCTGATTCGAGAGATAGCTAGCCTGATATCTACTCCCCCCGGAGGGATCTTCAATTAGTCAATAGAGCCTTGGTATAGAACTGCCACGAGCTTCCGACGATTCCCAACCTGCGTCTGTGTGTCGCGGAAGTGCCTCTTTTCGGCTTCACTTTTCCCAGTTATCCCCGCGTGCTTCCCCCCGCAGGTCGAATGCACAACTACCTCTCCGGTATTTGCCAACAGATTGGAACCGATGTACCATCGACAATGCTCTCTCTCTCTCTCCACTTTGGTCGTCGCGTTATCAGTTATAACCTTTTGTTCTCGAGCCGGCGTGACACCGGGACCGTCTGAAATTAAAGGGATCTTCTTCCACCGGCGGTGGTATGGACATATTTGTAATTAATTCTTCGAAAACGAAGATTCGATCGAGTTCTCCGTTAATGGAAGAATTAGATTGTTACTTTTGTGCCGCTGGAACGACGTCGTGTGGGATCTTTTGATCGTTGATAGGTTACTTGTTGGGGACTAATTGCTCGATTGGGAATACGTCGATGATGTAAGTGACTGTGTGTTAGAAAATAAATAGATACTCTATCGTGGTTCTTTTTTTTCTTCTTCTATTAGGCTGCGAGTTTTATAATTTAGATCGATATTTTTGGGGATTTTTTTTAAATTTGAGGGAGGAAACGTAAGAGACTTCTCGTTTCACAATATTTTTCAATTTTTTTTGGGTGGTAGGACCGTTGTCTTTCCTTGAATTTTCATTAAAATATTTTTCACTTTTGGCGCGAACTTATGGGATGACCTAATTAGTAGTTTTCTCAATTTTTTCCGCTATTCTCTATTTTGCATTTTATATTTTGTAAAAAAAACTTGTGTAAAAGATTGTGTAAGAAAACAAGTACTCTTTCTCTTCTGTATTACTAATTTTCTCAACTATTTTTTCGATTCATTTACAATTGCGTAACTAAGTGTTAAAAAACAAGTTCTTTTTTCTTCGGTGTTACTAATTTTCTCAACTATTTTTGCTACTCTCTATTTTGCATTTTTTCCTGTTTTCTATTTGCTTACGATAATGCAATTGAACAGGGGTACGGAGACGAACGATACAGAAAGCAACTGATTGGCAATACCGGTACAAAGAGAAATATTAGAAAACAGATTGTACACACGGTTCGTAATTCAAATGGTAATAGCGGGGCCGCTTTGATTTGCAATTCGCAGACAGTACGATAGTAGTTTTCGAAAGGGCGAACGCGTAATGTTCCCCGTGCAAGAAGAACGTGCAAGAATTTCGAATGCGTTCGACAAAGGAAAGCGCCGCATTTCCATATAATTGACTTCTCCCCTAATTATGAAGTCCGTCAACGTACATTATCGAGCCGGTATATCTTGCACAAACTCCCTCAGAAAACCAATTCAATCCTACGAATTGAATGCGGGAACTCGATGGATTCACCATTGTAATCACCCTTTTTTATCCAGACCGCGGGACCGGTTCTATTTGCATGTGGTTTTATACAAGTTTCGTTCTATTCGAAGTGGTATTAGTTGAAGAAATTATTGTTGTTCGTTACGAAATATCGTACTTAACGATGCTGCTTGATGGTATCAACCTATTCGACGAAAGTCGATCGATAGACACTGTTAATATCAGTCTGAATTTGATGTATAATAATAACGTTTCACAAATTATTTAAAAAAAATTGAAATGCATATAGCGAATAATGCGAACCTTAATTTAATTAACCCTTTCGTTTCTACCATCTGTATGTCTGTACTTTTATTTTTTTAATAGTCACCTACGTTTTCTATGTAGTGTTTAAAAAAAATCGTGATAACAGTATCATGAGACGTTTCCAACGAGAGCTCTTCCAATTCCATAATTGAATCGTGTGATGTTTAATCGCAAATTGATAATCCAATAATCGACTCGAAATAAGGCCTAGAAAAGCATGATAACTATACCACAAGACGTTTCCAATGGAAGCTCTTCTAATTCCGTAATTGAATCGCGCGATGTTCTAATCACAAATCAATAATTTAATAATTGACTCGAAATGACACTTAAAGAAAATCATGATAACGATATACCACAAGACGTTTTTAACGAAAGCTCTTCTAAAGAGGTGACCAAAATTCATAATTGAATCGTACGATGTTCCAATCACAAATTCATAGTCCAATAATCGACTCGAAATAATTTCTACCGAAAGAAAATCGTGATAACACAAAACGTTTCCAACGAAAGCTCTTCTGAAAAGCTGCAAAATCCACAATTAAATCGTGCAACGTCCTAATCACAAACTAATAGTCCAATAATAGACTGGATATGATAGCCAAAGAAAATCGCGATAACAATATACCGCAAGACGATTCCACCGAAAACTTGTTCCACAGACCCCGATGAAAATCCATAGTTAGATCGTGTGACGTCCCGATCGCAAATTAATAATCCAATAATCGAATCGATTCGCGGTGACAGAGGAGCACGAGACCTTCGTACACCGCAGAATTTGTGACCATCCGCCCCTTTCCCTTTTCCCGTGGCCATTTCCCTCCTTCCATCGAAGCCCCAGGAGGATATTAATGGTCCTCTGGGCGCGTTCCATGACAGAAGCAAGCCAATTTCGATCTGGATCAATGACGACACCATAATCAGCAAAGCCCTCGGCAGAGCCATTCACTTAGTCCAGACCTGCTGCGGGCAATCGCGCACTAATACTGTTCTACCGATGCCTGAACGTCCATTTCGCTCACTCGCCCCCTTTATACATCTCTCTATCTCTCTGGAAGCCTCTTGCGTCCTCCCTAGTTCCGTTCCCTATATCTATATTTATCACTGTCCCTCTCAGCGCCACTGTTTCACTGTCTATCTCCGTTGCTCTAATT